CCCCAAAACCCCAAAACCCCAAAACCCCAAAAAGAATATTTTATATTGAAAACTGAATTATTTGTAACGAATTGCTTTAAGTCCCCTTACTTTTGCCTTGTAACCATATTTTGCGAGGAGGCTCTTTATGCTATCTTTAGAGTATCCTTGTCCTATATTGAAGAATATAAAAATCTAAAGTTCTGAAATCGAAACTGCAAAGATTAACACTAAGTGAGAATTTTAAAAATGATATCTTCCTGTTTAGTGAAGTATGTTGATCTAAAATATTTAATTACCTTGCTTATTGCCCATTATTCCTTCATTATAATGAATTTTCTCCAAGTTATCTGTGATTGTAGGATTTATTGCCATTGACTGTATCAAACTGTGAAGGCTTTCCTTTGATCCTTTTGTAAATTTAAGATCAAGTATTTTAAATCAGAATCTAAACAATAGCCCACAATATTTACATTGAGAATGGATCGATTCTAATCATCTCCTCACAACTAAAAGTTATCGAAGTTTCGTACCTTGAATGCAGCGATCATTTGCTCATATTTATCTCTGGAACATGTCTAAAAGCGTGCAACAGAAGAGAAAGCTGCCTTTTTCCAAACTATTTCTAAGATTAGAATCTTACCTCAACACCAGCAAAGGTTATGGAGCCTTTAATCTTATGAGCATTTCTGATCAAGCAATAAAAGTTATATTTTAATAACTTTATTTCAGACATAATCAAGATCAGATTATCTATTTTAATATCTTGATCTAGAAAGCACACAAGAGATTCTTTGAACAGCGCATTACTTGTGAAAAAGAAGCTGACCTCTTTGAACTTGGCACCCTCTACAACATCATTCATTATGCCTAACCTAGCAGAGTAAATGTCTTTATTATAATAGAAGAATTAGGGATCCTCATGTCAATACTAATACTCCATTGGTCTGCCATATACATAACAGATTTCCACCCTGTGTTCTCAAAGAAGTAAGTTAAAGGGATATCTACAGTTAAGTTTCTAATTACTCCATATTTCTCGCTGAGTGGTCTTCTCATCACTAGGTTGCACTGGTGCCACTATACCATCATTGTTATTGAGCACAAGGATTTCAAGGGGGCTTACAGAAGGAAGTGGGATTGGTCATTGAACAAGAGGCAGAATTCATTGTCTTTTTCATTATAAATATTATAAAAAGGGGTTTTGGGGTTTTGGGGTTTTGGGGTTTTGGGG